GGGCCATTAATTTTGTTTTATTGCTGGTCTGATGGCCATTACCCTTTTTTTGCCAATGCATTCCCCCATTAGGTTTGTACAATTAACAAAATATGTGCTGTTAGGGCTTTGATAGGAACAGTGGGATGGAAATAAAGGGAGGAGGAGCTGCTGCCACTGAGTTGGGGGTAGGGAGAGGCTGGACCCAAGGGTGGGGCCTTAGGAATAAAGGGGGGTGGGGCCTTGTAGCCAATGGCATCCCTGGAAAATTGCTCTAAGACCTTCCCAGCTCTCTCCTGGCTGGGATTGGAGGAGTTGCCCAGGTGAGAGGGAAGGACACTGGGTGGGGCTGCCTGGTGGTGCTGGTGTTTCCCCAGATCCTCCCCTTCAGCCTCCAGCTAGGCACAGCACAGCTGAGAACATAATGAGCCACCCTATGCAACCTCTGTGCTGTCACCTTGAACCTGAAACTCCTCAGAGGGCAGTGTGAGTCAGCCTCTGGGTGGCTGGCCCAGTGATTGGAGAGATGTCCTGGGTGACACCTGCCTTCTCTCTATGGGGCAAACAGGAGGACCTGCGCCTGATTAAAAAGGGGCGGCTGACATTCAGCATCAGCCAATGATTGCCACGTGGGAAAGGCAACATTGGCATTGTTAGGTCATCCAGTTTGTTTAGAAAAGTTACAAATCTGGATCTTTAAATGTGAAGTTTCCCACTTTTCAGATGTTGGCAGAATTTATAAAAACGCTGGATAGGCAAGAGTCAACCTAGGGGCTGCCAGGTGACCTCTGCCAGGCAATGAGGAGCCACTGAAGGGTTTTGAGGAGCGGACATGATGAAGTTACGTTTCAGAAAGATCCCAGGCGGGGAGGTGGTGGATGGGCCCAAACGGGGCAAGATGGAGGCTGGGAAGAGAAAGAAAGCCTGAGGCATGTCAGTGACAATGGGATGGGAAGAAAAGCAGTGCTATTCCTGATGGAGAATCAGCAAGTCTTGGGTCTTGGTGTATTCACACCTCAGAGGACGTCTACAGGGCCAGGGAGGTTGCTCTGTGGGCAGATCCTGGAGCCCAGAGGCTTTGCCTCCGTGGCAGGCTCTGGGAGCCAACACCTTTCAGTGTACGTAAGTCTTCTTCTCATTCCCACCTGGTGTCGACACTTCACGAACGTCTCCAATTCCTTCTCCCACATAGGAAAATCATTAGGATTGACCCACCAGTGCCAGCATTCCTTACGGGATTTTATATGTATACCTGTACTTAAAGATAAAGGCCCAAAATTAGAGGCTTGGGCCTGGGCAGGGCCTGGGGAGTGTGCCTGAGGGCGCTTTTCCAGGTCCCCCGCAACTGGATGCCCGCACTGCCTAGGGCTCAGGGGCCTGAGGATGGGTGTGGAATTAGCATTGGTTCTTACCAGGCTTTGAAGAAGGGAGTGCAGTACCCTTGGTGCTGGGTGGGTTAGTGCAGGGTAATTTTATCCATATTTCATTACTCAGTTATTGTGTAATTGAGAGCCTGGTGGTTAGGGCCTGCGATGCTGTAACTGACAACCTCTTTCGACACATGCAAGCAACTGCAGGCTGTTGTCAGGTGAGGGGAGTGTTGGTGGAGCAGAGAGGGGACTCGGGGCCATGAGGTGGGGAGACACAGGACACGCTGTCTGGAGGGAACATGTGGTCCTCCAGGTGTTTCCTCCTGGAAAGATCTGTTCAAATGTTGTTTCTCTTTTGGAAGTTTTACTCTTGTGCCTACAGAGGGCTTTTCAGAGAAGAGGAGCATCCAGAGAGAGTCTTGGTGCCCAAGAATGTTTTGTCATAATTTGTCCTCATCCTAGCAGCCTGGCTGGGGCAGGAGCAGAAAAGCTTGTCATGGGCAGTGGGATGAATGTACAAGTCCTCAGTTTTCTTGATTTGCCTCTCTTTTCCCATTCAGTTGCTGCCAGTCCTTACCTCATAACACCAAACAACAACGATAGCCCCCATTTATTGTTATTAATATGTTCCAGGCATTGCACAAAATGCTGTAGATGCATTATCTCGTTAAAAGGTGCTGCGTTATCCCCATTTTAAAGATGGGAAAATCGAGGTTATAGCAGTTAAGGTTAGGGAAGTGATGGACCCAGGCTTGAATCCAGAACTATCTGACTCCTGCATCTTTGCTTTTAACTATGATGATGCACTGAGCTACCTTAGCATGAGACTTAGAGCCCTCCCTGGGGGATTAGTCTGGGCAACCTCAGAGATGTATAGATGTCAGATAGAATTTTGGTTTGAGGATATCTAGTAGTCTAACCCTATCATTTTGAAGATGGGAAAACTGAGGTATAGAGTAGTTAAAGTTGCTTGTCCAAGATCACACTCTGTAAGTATCTGTGTCATTAACTTAAATGACAGAGTCAGGGCATGAGCCCATGTCTGGTGATGCCCCTGGTCTACTGCTCTCTGTGTTAAACCCATGGCCTTGCTAAGCCCCAGGCTCCTCTCCCTCCATCCTTCCAACTTACCTAGGTGGGCTTCAGGGGTGCTCGCTCAGCTGTCCTTTAGCATGTGCTGCCTCCTATGGGAAGCTTTCTTCTGTCCCTCTCCCCGCCTCTTTTCCAAATAAACATGAGCATTCAACAATTGCCTCCTCATTTACCATTTCACAGGTTTCCGCATATTTATAAATGTGAATGGTCAATCTCGTTTATGGTTCCATTTTGTTTCACGGTGAATAAGACAGGCCTGAGTTTAAATTCTGGTTGCATTATTGCATGGCTGCTTGTCTGAAGGCCTTTGACATGATTGCTTGCCTGCCAGGACCACACACTGCTGGCTTTGGAAAGCCCTAAAATGTCATGCCCATGGATAGTTCCCAGCATGCGTCCATGGTCAGTGCCAGTCCAGGAAGACTTTCCATGGGGCATGGTGATGAGTGAAAAATAAGGATGATATTGAGAGGTTGCATGTACACATACGTGTGCATGCACATGTGTATGTGTGTGTGTGTGAGAAAGGCAGAGAGAGAGAAATGCTTTTCGTGATGCTCTATTTACTCAGTTCAAAGGATGGCGCTTTTTTCTCTCCTTACTTTTGGGGGTTGAATTATTTATGAAATGATGGTAAAAGAAGACATTATTAAGGTTTTCTCAATATATAAATTAGTCAACCCTATCAATCTCCTAATATTTTTTAGTGTTTTGTGGTTGGGCAAAACCATGTCTGGGAGACCATGCTCTGGAGCAGCTTCTCACCCAGGGCAGGATTCTCCTTCCAGTGTTGGGGAGCTCACCACCTTCGGTGGAAGCCTAACTCATTTTTGGATGGTTCTCATTGCTAGAGCCTTCTTTCTTATATTGAACTGAAGATTGGCTTCCTCTAACATCTATCAATTAGTGCTAGAGTAATGCAGTCCCTCTCATGTAGTTTCTTCAAATATTTGGAGGACCACCGTGTGGGGGAAGGATTGTTACTTAGTCAATAGAACCAGGACCAATGGGTCATATTAGAGAGGGACAAATGAAGGTACATCTCTAGTTTCTTCTCCTGTGTCTTCTACCTCACACCCTCCTAATAATGAAAATAACGATGATAGTTAACATTCAGTGAGTGCTCATTTTGTGTGAGGCACTGTTCTAAGCAACTTACAGTATATTATAGAGCAACCTTACAACCAACCTCAGGTAGAATCCTCGTTAGCTCTGTTTTACAGATGAAAAGCTGAGGTACAGAGAAGTTGAATAACTTGCCTGTGGTTTTGCTGCTAGTAGATGGTGGAGATGGGATTGGAACTTGTGCAGTCTGATTCCAGAGCCTTCCCTTTTAACTACTAAAGTTTTAACCAGTACTTTAACCACTAGACATCTTTGCTCACCTCTCTCTTCTACTCTTCGCTGTCGAAGTTATTAGAATATGATGCCGGAACTGCATCTTAAACTAATATGGATGGATTGCTAAGTCCAAAGTGAGGGGACCATTCACCTTTCACTTGGACACCGTATGGCCTTAATGCAATCTAAGATGGCGTTTAATGGATTTGGGAGCAACACCATACCCTGCGCTCATCCTGAGCTTGCATTTAACTCAAATAGCCCACATCTTTTTTTTTTTAAACCAGGTTATCCCATTCTGTGTTTTTGCTATTGATTTTTGAACATAAGAGTAGGATTTGATGTGTATATATATATATATATATATATATATATATATATATATATATATTCTTGTCAAATCTTTTTCTACAAATCTGTAAAAACTAAAAATGGATTTGCATGTGGATGTAGGATATGATAATTTGATGGTTTAGAGTGATAAGATTGTGGGCAATTTTTCTTTACTTTCAAAATTATTTTGTTTATGGTTGTCATGGTGTTATTGTGCAAGAAATAAAAACTGGTAGAGGAAAAAATTGACTTTTTAGTTTTGGCCCATCCTTTTCAGCGTGTTAAAAGCTTTGTAACACTCTTGACTCCCTCTCTCCAACATAGTGGCTATCCCTTCCCCACTGTGTAGCATGTGCAAATGGCAAGTCTGCTATATCCTCTTCCAAGTTGTGTCTCAATGGACAATCCCAGAGGGCGGGGATAAAGTACCTCTCCATGCAAGTCAATCTAGAGACTTCTTGTACTGAGTTCATGTATGCTCAGTAGCAATGTGTCAATTGCTTAAAAGAATACAAGTTGGAGCCCAATGCCAACCAGGGGCTTCTTCTCAGGTGCTAGTTGTGGATTCTGGTTGGAATGAACAGGGTCCACCATTGAGCATTTCAACATATACTGAGACTCCGCTACATGCTGAGCACTCTGCTGGGTTCTGGGGCTTTTAAAAAAATATACCTTTATAGATACGTAAGTCTAGTGGTCTGGTCTTCTCTCTGAGGTACCTCCATAAACCACTAATCCTTGGTCATGCAGGTGTTAGTAGACAGCTCCAAAGGAAATGCCTCATCCTGGAGGACGTCATCATGAGCAACGGGGACTTTTTCTTTCCATGAGCACATCACACCTCATGCCGGAATCTTCCATCTGAAGTTCCATCTCTTCCAAGAAGCCTGTCTGGCTTAATTAAAAGGAAAATACTGAAGGCGAGGTGGGGCGGGAGGCTCGTCTTTTTCATGTTATTTCCTTGTTGAAAAACCTTCAGTGGCTCCATGAGCTCACAGCCCAAGCCTGGCCTTTCTGCCTGACACTCAAAGCCCCAGATGCTCTGCCTCCATCTGGCTTACTCAGTGTTAGTCCCTCCTGTGTCTCTCTCAGGCAGACCAGCCTCTGCATGTCCCAGGGCGCTCACGCTTTCCCCCTCTCACCCTTGCTCAGATTGCTCCCCTCCTTGGAATGCCATCTTGCTCCCTTCCTCTAACCGCATTTTACCTGTCCAGTCTTCCAAGACCCCATTCAAGTTCTACCTCCCCTGCAAACGTCCTTGAGTGCTTCAGCTCTCACTGACTGTGTTTCTCTGTGGAGAGAGAAGCATGGTCCCTAGCACATAGTTCAGCACTACTTTGTAGATAGTCTTGTCTTATCTGATGATGTTTCATATGGATATTCTTATTCCCTGGTGATGTGGCAGCACTTTTACTGACAGGACCCCTGGATTTTATTCCTGGCAAATGTAGATCATGGAGCAGACACCTGATACATACATGCTGGGTTTTTCTCGTTGTTGTAGTTGTTGTATTGCTTTATCCCAGAAGGAGAATGAAAAGCAGTCATGTTTTTTAATCTTTCCAGTCTTGCTCCCATCATTCTTCTCCACACACTTTCTTTTCCTTCCAGCCCAACTGGACTCTTCACCTTTAGTCGAACGTTCTCTCTTATATCAGGACTTTCCATAATCCTGCCGTAAACGACAGCATCAGTGTTGTTGTTTGTATGCTGGTTTTTGGCAGCCTTCTGCATATAGATTGCAAGCTTTCACAGGGGCTCCTCAGCTCTGTCCCCCTGCATGGGGTCTTGCATCAGACAGGAGGCATCAGTAAATGATTATTGCTTTGGTCAGCTCAGGGCTCTCAACAGCTGTGAACCTCTTTTTCTCTGAGATTTCTATAGGGAAGGGGATGAAACTCACAAGAAATTGAGGCACCAAGCAGGTAAGGAGGGGGTGATTCTGGCTCTCTGGCCTGGTTAGCTGTCTAAACAATAATCCTTTCTCAGCTGGAGTCCTTTGCTCAGGAACTTTCCCACCCAACACTCTGGGCACAAGGCTGCCAGCCCCAGCTTTGCTCCTGAGCCTGACCCACTTCTGAGTTTACCCTCATCCCCACCTTGGCTCTTACTCCCGGAACAATCATGCACAGTCTATAAAAATGTTTTCTTTTATTGACAGGTGAAGTCTGGAGCAGGACTCTGGGACTTTTTGTCCTCCATGCCGCTCACCAGAAAAGGAACTGTGAACTGTAAGTAACTGTGATTGGCATTTTCCATGCTGACTCAATAAGGTTATGGGTTAAAGACCAGCCCTGAACCTGATCTTTAACAGCCATGCATTGTGCAAGAGAAACACTCAACAATGAGCTAGTCAGAATGTAAAATACAGTGGAACTCTAATTAGATTACGTCTGAATGTGACAAAGAAGCCCTGTAATATGACATCCTATTTAATTAGACTTTATTGATTGTGCATTAAGGTGGACTTGATGTGTGATGTGTGTCATGAGTGTCGGAAAGGGAAGCTCCTGAGTTTGCAAGGCCAACCCAGAGCCCAGCCACTACCATCTGTGGGCTAAGCTTGGGAGGCAATGAGAGGAGTTCATAGCCCGCACTTGCTTTTACATCTGGTTGTTTCTAGGAAGGCATGAGGGAGGAAAAAGGAAACACTGCTGGTCATTTCCCTTCTGTCAGCATAATAATAGCTCCACCTCATACTTATGCATATTTGCTCATATTGGTCCTCCCACTTAGCAAATGTCTATGCACCTGGAGGACTCAGCTTAAGCCTAGTCTTTTCCATGGAGACTTCTCTGGTAACTCCAGCTAGAATTGATTTCTCTTTCCTCTGAAATTTTGCTGCATTCATATCCTGGGCACCCGTCTGCCTGCACTTTACTGTGTGCTCTCAGCGAGGCTGTGGGCTCCTGGACGTGGTCTGGGATTCCCGCGTCTTTGTGTCCCCACTGCACCCTCAACCTAGTGGCAAATGTTAGCTGGAAGACTGGGTTGCCCCCGGCTATGTAGCCTCTCCACCCTTCTTCTGGGGCTACCGGAGGCTGAGCGGCTGCTGGGAGTTTGATAGTACATTGGCTTCCAACCAGTCCATGGAATTATAAATGATTAACCGTTATCAGCGCACATCTTCACCTCTGTGTAAAAATAGATTGACTGTAATGAGTATTTGAATAAATCATAAGAATGGTTGCCCTGTGATCGTCTAACATCCTGCCGATGGCTGCCCGGTGAGTGAGCAGGGCGCCGGCCCTCCCGCCTAATGGCCTGTGATTCAGTGCTGGTCGCCTCTGTGATTGACGGGCCTTGGCTCCCAGGGTACCTCCTCTTCAGCCTGGGCTCTGAAGTGGTCGGATCCCCAAGCCCAGTAGTCAGGGAAGGGTTCCTCCCTTTATCCTGTTCCAGGAAAGCATACAAGGAGATGGGGCCGGGGGCTGGGGGAGCCAGAGTAGAAAGATAATGACCTTTGTGAGAATCGATGTCTCCTCTCACCGGAGGTTAGAGGGACCTCATAAGTCAAGTCAAGTATGAGAGGAGCAAGCTGAGCGTGAACCTTAATGAGAATGGAGAGTGGGGGAGAAACAGGTCTGTTCATTCCCCCACTGTGTCTGCGGGCAGCCTGGCGCCTTGCGCTGGGCCACCCCCACCCAGGGAAAGCTCCCTCACAGGGACATGCTCTTGGACCTGCACTGAGGAACGAGAGAGAGCAGGTCTCTTCAGGTCCCGGGACTCTGAAATGGGAAAATTCAAATGATCTTTCAGGGTTTGCTAAGGCCGCATCAGGCATGAGGATCTTGCCTTTTGGAGGGGGGAGGAAGAGGACGAGGGGGGAGACAGGCTTGGAGGGACTGGGACCAGGTGAGGAGGGAATAGTCTGAAAGCCCGAAGTCTCAGAGAGCAGACCAGTGAGGGCTAGATTTGAGAGGGAAACAGCAAACGTTCTCATTTAATTCCAGTGGTGTTCCAGTTACTACAGCTGTATAACAAACCATCCCAAAACCTAGTGACTTAACAATGTTTATTATGGTCATATTCTGTGAGTCAGGAATTCAAACAGGGCTTAGTGGATTCAGCTTATCTCTCTGTTCCACCAGATCTGTGATTTCAGCTGGGTCAACTCAAAAGCTAGATGTGGAATCATCTGAAGGCTGATTCAGTCATGATTCTGGGGGTTGTCACGAGCTGTTGGCTGAGATGTTAGCCAGGGCTGTTGTCCAGAGCCATGTGACCTCTCCATGTGACTTGGGCTTCCTTACAATGTGGTGACTGGATATTAAGGGGGATCATCCTGAGAGAATAAGAGCCAGGTGGAAGCTGCATTGCTGAAGTCCGGTCACTTCCACCACATTCTCTTGATGAGGGCAGTTACAAAGGCCCACCTAGGTTTGAAGAAAAGAACATTGATACCCTCCCACCACCACCTCTTGAAGGAGGGGTATCAATATCATACTGAAAGAAGAGCATGAGGGATGGGATATATGTTGTCGCAGCCATCTTTGGAAAGCACAATTTACCACAACCATCATTTGTCAAGTCTGGCACAGCACAGCCTCATCTATTTCCAAAGACAGGTTAAAGAAACCCCCACCTTAGATAACCACACTGCCCCTTAACTCAGAATGTCTAGGGAAATGGCTCCCCAGAGGCCAGGCTAGGCTTCCTCCTGGGGTGGGACTCCCTGAGGACCTACTGAGAAACCTCTATGTTATAGTCCATCTCAGCAATAGTGGGTCCAGTTTGCAACCCACAGCTTAAAGTGCCTGGTCTTGAGGGGGCTTATATCTGTGACCAAGGACTCCACAAGCATTGAGTCCTTCCTTCTTACCCAGGGCTCCCCACACACCCTATCCCATAGACTTTCGAGCTAGGGTAGATTTCAGCCAAACATCACGACTTAATAAGCTGTGCTGGGGACTGAAGAGGTTGAGGCAGCCCTTCCTCCCTGTACCCTGTGCCACACACTATAACCTGCATGACGCTGTGCCAATAAGGACCAGGCTCCCTTTCCTTGGCTGTTTTCATGACTCAGATACAGATAAATTTTGGAAGAGAATCCGAGTGCACTGGATGCCTTGTTGTGAGTTAACGGGACAGAAAGAAAATTCAAGGAAACAAAGAGTGGAAATGGAACCAGTTCATTTTCCCGAAGGGCCAAGATCTGAGAATGGCGAATACCAAAAGGGAGGGGGCAGGGAAGAGAGGGGTAGTTGAGCTTGGTTTTGATGAAAAGCTGCTGGGGTTTTGAGGAAGAGTCCTGGAGTCAGCTTAATATCAATAACCAACATGGATTGAGCACTTCCTACCTGTTAGACACTGTGCTAAGCCCTCAATGTGCATTTTCTCATTGAACCCTCTTTACACTGCTTTATGAGAGTCTGCTATCATCTCTCTGCTACAGAAAAGGAGTGGAGGCTCAGGGAACAGGAGAAATACCCTAGTGAGTGACAGAGTAAGTTAGTAACAGAGGTGAAATCAAATTTAGGACTACTCTGTTCTAGAGACTTAATCACTTTATTGTGTGGCCCAAGGAATCTCAGTTTCCTCTCCTGTAGAATGGAGAAGTCTAGTGACATCATCTCCAATGTACCCCTCGGTTCTAAGATTCTAATTGTGCAGAAAAGGTTCTGGGAACTTGTTAGATGTGTCTAAAGTGGAGGCCCACTTATGGAAATGGGTTTGTTTGAAAGTTGGGAATGATTTCCTATCCTCTCCTTTCCCCGTTCGTGGAACTTAACTCAGGAAACTAATGTTTAATTTGGACAGGTGAAGGAAACAGATAAAAACAGAAAGGTCATTTGTATTTACAAGGCTCTAGCTTGCGGGAAAAAATGTTGAGTTTGAAGTCCAAAGCTGGGGCTTGAATCCCAGCTTTGTGACCCTCGCACCTCTGAGGTCCCAGGCTCGTCTCTGGTCTTCAGACTCCTCATCTCTAGAACGGAAATGGGATTGTATCCCTTCCAGGGCTGGTGTGGGGACAAAATGAAATCCAGCATGTGAAAGCACTAGAGCCATTCCTGGCACACAATAGGGATTCAATGAGGCTTCAGTCATTCACTCATCCAGTAAATAAATAAAAAGTGGAATTGGAAAGAAAGATTGTTCCTCTCCATTGCTCCTGACAGAGATGGTCAGGAATCTTTCCTTTAACTGTACCCTCCATAAAAGTTCACTCATAAACTATTGATAGTTTAATAATACACATTAGCATCTTGCCCTTTGACAAATGAATATTGAATGAGCAATAAAGAGGCAAAAGAGTAACCAGGTATACAGCTGCAGGGAAGCTGGAATCAGGAGTAGTTGTCAGAGGCAACGCCCCTTTCCAGGGACCTGTGACTTACCTCTCTCCCCGTCGTCGTGACCCCTAGGAAAGAGCTCTTACAAGGAGCTCAGATTCCAGCCCTGCTCGGCCCAGTCTGAGCAGGATTCGTCCTAGGTTTCCTTTCACTTGGCTGGAGGGGATTTGAGAGAAGAGAGTAAAGGTCATTAAAGAGCTGCTATGGGCGCGATGTGTCACCTACACGTGAAACGCCTTGGCTCGCCCACTACCTTGACTACAGGTGCAGGCCTCTTCCTCATATACTCTCTCCTGCTCCATAAATTAAAAGTCTGCCAACAGCCATTGTGCCCCCCAGAAGTCAGGCAATGAGCTTGGAATTAACTCAGACTGGTTCCACCCTCTTTCTCTCCTTTCTCCACCAGGTCTCCATGGGCCCCTATGCTTGGGGTGTGGGTTAAGGTTTATAAGACAGAATTTCCTGTCTCTTGCAGCTCCTGCTCCCGGCTGTGCAGCCACAGCCTCCGGTTTCTCGTGGCCTCCATCTGGGCTGGGAGTCCTTGAGTGTGCAGGGAACAGTGACAGGGGCTCTTCGTTGGTCCGGCTTAATTGGTGTGATTTAATGGCGTTTCTGGCAGATTCAGATTTATACGGCTTTCTGAGCTGCAAATCTGCTTTCTAAATGTAGAATTTTTGTGGAGTGGTAAAAAATAATGGCTGTTCTGTGATTCCTGCCTCCCGAGCTAGGAGATTGCAATTTACATTATGCAAATAGACATTATGCAATCAAGGCACTTTAGCAGGAATCTGGCGGCAGAGAGGCCGCTGATGAGATGCCGAGGTCTGCAGCCCCAACTGGAGGGGCTCTGGAAGAGCAGGGAGGAAGTGGGGAGGGGGTGGGGCACTTGGGGAGGAGGCAGAGTCTGTTCCTCTGGCCCAAGGAGGCAAAGTGGAGCC